AGGGTCCCACTTGAGTAAGTGCCGTTATAAAACACTGCAGTAAGTTGAGGTGGACCCCATATTTTCACTAATCTTATCAAGAGTGTACAAGCAGCAAGCTAGCACGTACAATCCCTTGAGAGCATATTAAGTATGAAATTCCAGAAATGTCCCTATGCCAGGCAGACATGTTGATCATGAGCTGCCTGGTTATTCCCACTTATAGTATATGAAATAGAAATAGATGTCTTTGAAGAACTAACTTTATTATTGGATATCCTTTGTCATCTTGATTGTTTTAGGAAAACCAGGCAAACCAAGACTTATAGGTAAAGTGTAACTTTGATCATAAGGTTTACCTGCTTCAACTATTTCAATGTTTTGAATCTTAATATTTTGAGAGTAATTATTTAATAAGCAAACAACTTTTCTACTTATGTTTTTCGCTAATGAGTTTTCGTTGATTTTAGATTTTGGCAGATTCGAAAATTAAAAATGAAAACAAATTCTCTTTGGAAAATCTTCAAACGGATCACGTAGAATACATGAACTGTTTCAAAACAAAAGGGCAATCATATACAACTGGGTTCGAAAGGAATTGTAAGATAGTTATGTGTAAATAGTCTTAGTCCTGTATGTAGTAGAAGTATAATACGTCCTAGTCCCATATGTAGTAGGAATAGAATACGTATTATATATATAGGGTTCATTGTATCATTGTTAATAAATAGATTTTTCTCCCGTGCATTCTCAGATGGTATGACAGCTTTAGTGAGAAAATTATCGTTATGCGTCATTCCAGCGATATCCGGAAAGAAAGATATCATTGCCGTGCAATTTTCCAGCAGCTTCGTCATGTTCCCAGGGTCACTTCTACAGTAGTACTGTGCATATACCAGTACTGCCATCATATTTGGAACCCTTGTGCGACCAAACCCTAGAAATTCTAGTCCCATCTGAATAGAAAAGTCAGTCACCGTGTGTCTTTTCGGTTGACGACTCAAGACTGATTTGCATTATCTCCTCATCGGTAAGTGTTGTGCGAAAACCAACACTACTATCTTGTTCGAAAAAGTCAAGCGACAAAACCTCAGTCAATTGCTCCGGCAGAAAGTCATGCGCCTCCAATGCCGCTAGAACTAGGGCTTTGGCTATAGTAACTTTTCGCGCGCGTGTGAGCCATTCCGGCCACTTTTTGAGAAAACATCTTTAGGTCAACTTAGTCGTCTAGTGATTCCGAGCCTACCCATATAAATTACATCAAATTCTGACAACTTTTATTTTTTCCGGCGTGAAAAATGAATTTTCGGCCTTGTATGTCGAATGATCAGCTTGCAGATATTTTTACCAGGTCCCTCACTGATCCTTGTATTAGTTACATATATAACAAGCTCGGTACATTTGATTTCTATGCACCAGTTTGAGGGGGAGTGTTAGATAGTTATGCGTAAATAGTCCTAGTCCCGTATGTAGTAGGAGTACAATATGTCCAAGTCCTGTATTTAGTAGGAGTAGAATATCTATTATATATAGAGCTCATTGTATCATTGTTAATAAATCGATTTTTCTCCCGTGCATTCTCACAGGAATAATACTAATAATTTTGAAAACACAAGGGCTTCTACTAGAGCAGTTTTTCAATAAACAAACATGGAAAAAAAATTTAAAAAAAAAAATTAGTTGAGGTGTTCAGGTGTTCAATAGGAACAACCCTTAGTTAGGTATCTAAATTAAAAAAAAATAGACAAGTTTAAGTGGCCACATATGTATTCAGCCTTTTAAAAACTTTATTTTTTAACTCAATCACATTATTTAATAATATTATTTTATATTGTATACTTGATGTATAAATATTTTTGCAGAAAAATAATGGGTTATACTAAATTAAACTTAGATGTCGTTTGGTAGAGTGCATTAGAGAAAATAATGTATGCATTAGCTTTGTGTATTGGTAATACCTTATTTGGTATACTTTTTCAACCTATGTATAACTAATACAAGCATTAGTTATACACCCTATTTGGTATTATCACTAATGCATACCAATCCATGGTAGTAGCAATACCAAGGCTATTAATGCATGCATTAGCATGGTTAAAGACAAAATTATCCTTAAAATCCTTTAAAGCTAAAGAATATGGAGGGCATTTTTGTAAACAATTATTTTTCTTAAAATTATGTAATGCATTTTAATTTTTAATACACCAAACAACCCTTTAAGAGCTTGTTTGGATGGTTGTTACATATCGTTTCATAATGTATCGCATTGTATTGTATTGTTTGATGAATACAATATTTTGATAGATTATATCGTTTGACGTCGTTTCGTGATATCACGCACCAGCAATATGAAGAATAAACTTTCAATATTGTAAATAACAATTATGATACGGGGTAAAATTATTATATGAAAATATAGGATAAATGATAAAATAAAATTATTTAATTTTAATGAAGGGTGAGATTGATAGAAAAAGACAAGGTTACGACGCGACCATACCAAATCAATCATTACATAAAGTGGCATATGTTATGATTACGTAACAACGAATTTAACAATACGATACAATAAAATTGAAATAACAATCATAACAAACATCATTAATAACAACAATACGATACGATACGTAACAAGCATCCAAACAAGTTGTAAGAGTATATGGCTACATATGTGCAATGTAGTATGTTGGGCAGTATTTTTTTTTCTTTTATTTAGCCTTTAGATTCCTCACTACACTAGTATACAATGCTAACCAGGGTAAGTTTACTTGCCTTCCGCCGTGTCCTATGAGTACTCTTGAGAAGTCAAAGATCGATTATTCGCTGTCCGGAGATCTGATTACTTTACTTGTTTTGTTCTTTTAGGTACTCAGTTTTTTTCGATATTTGCTTTTAATCCATGAATTTGGATTTCCCTTTCTTGATGTCTTGTCCAGATAAAGAAATTGCTTATATCGTACGAATTTTTGATGCGGAAGAAGATTAACGAACTACGAATTATGTTTGTGATGCAAGTCGTTAAAAACACATTAATAGTTATAATTGTGTACTTGCACATATATAGAATATTCAGATTTGAATGACTGTCCAATAAACTAATGCAGTTTCTCTATCATGTATCCGGTTAGTTAATTTGATACAGAGAAGAAAAACCTTTTGTGCGAGAATTAAAAAAGGAGGACAAGTTATAATCAAGCTTAATAAGTACTGAGTTGCAATGGCGGCTCCATAAAGTTTGTGGCCTAAAGCGAAATTTAATAAGAGACCTTATACTTTTTTATTAGTATATATGCACGCTTGACACACTTATACAAAAAAAAGATAGTGTTGCCATTTTTTCATACTTGTTATTTATAGTATAACATGCTTAAATGATGAAACCTTTAACTCCACATAGTAGTATTATCATTTATATTAGTAAGAGGTAACTTAAATAAATTGGATGTAAGACATGTATTTTTAATATGTTACCTTTGGTTTTGTTGTAAAAAATATATTTACTAATATGAAGATCTAAGTAATTTAATTCAAAGTTCTAAAATATTTTTAGTGTTAAAGAGTAGATAGTCTTCCTTTCTTTCTTTTGTCCAAGGTTTATTGTATTTTTTTTATTTTTTTTGCAAACTTTAATATTGTCTAACTTGAAATAAAATCATAAAATCATAAAATCCATTATTAAAAAATTTTGGGGACCTAAATTAAAGCTTTGCTAGTCTCCTAATCGAGCCACATGCCCACCCCACTGCTATTCTCAATCAATTTTATACAGTCTCAATTAAGATAAGACAACAATTAGTGAATGTGTTATGTAGTTACCAAATGTGAATGGAGCTGTTGAATAACACGTTCATGGGCAGTGGTCTATAAATAATTATTAATTATTAATGAGGGCGGCTCAACGGAACTGGTGGCTTAAAACTAAAATATATTAAAAGACCCTAAAATTTCTTTCATAATATCCATATAATATTGAGACAAAAAAGTGGTGAGAGAACAACGTATAATATGTGGGTTAGGCGTAAGCCATATGGTATTGAACTCCCTATAAAAAAATATAGCATTAAATGAAAATGGTAAAAGGATTGAGCTTAGTATCGATCGTGTTTTGGAAGATGAAGATACCTTACAAGGTTAACTGCTTTACATGGCTAGTAGCAAGGAGGGCTTGTCTAACTCAGGATATTCTTCAAAGAAGGGGTATGCAACTAACCTCCAGATGCTTACTCTGCAAAGCTGAATCTGAAAACAATAGCCATCTCTTTCTCCATTGTGCTTTCACTTCCCAACTATGGAATCTATTTTTGGCCCTGGTAAATTTGAAATGGATAATGCCGGGAAACACAAGTGATCTACTGAAAGCTTCGAACTATGCTGGTAAAATGGTCAGTCAGATAAAATGGTGGAGGATTATCCCAGCTTGCATTTGGTGGACCATATGGACGGAAAGAAATAGCAGATGTTTTGAAGAAAGGAGTAGCTCCATACAAGTAGTTAAAATGAATTATATTTTAAATTTTCACTTTTGGTGTAAACAGTTTTCTGTAGGAGATGCAGAATCTGTTCTACAATTTTTGGAAGCCTTGTAAAGTTCACAAGGATAGTACATTGTAAATACTGTTGCCAGCATAATCTTTATGCTGATGAATAAAATTTGTTACCATTCTCAAAAAAGTATCGATCGTGTTTTGAATCTTACGATAATTGTCTCTGGGATTTCTTAGTTAAATAAAACGAGACACAAAAGAACTTGATTACTGATATGAGGATCTATCAAATGTGACAAAAAGGAATAGTTAATTTAGAGAATTTGATTTTGAATTAGAAAGTAAAATAATAAAAAATATAAAAAAAGAAAGAAAGAAAAATAAAATTTATTTAATTTAGTGAGAGAAAAGTTTTATCCTATTAACTCATTCAATCGTACATCTACCAAATTTAAATAAATATTAAAATTTAAAATATTTTATCAATAATTTTATAAATATAAGTTACATATATTATAGTATACTGATATAGTAGTACTTTATATTTTTGGGGCCTTAAATATTTGGGGCGTAAGGCAAGAGCTTCACTTGCCTTACCCTAGAGCCGCCCTTGCTGAGTTGCTTGGCATCATTCAGGTACATTTCAACCAGAATATTGTATTCTTCTTGAATATGTGGAGATCTCTTTACAGATTTTCAATCTACACTTAACCACATGACTACATCTAAATTGAGTTGCTCTTCACTCTTTGAATTGTACTATTTTTGTGATATGTATTGCTGTAAAATGTCTTTCAATTGTGGAGTTAATACATTAGAAGCTCTTCACAATATTTTGCCCCATATTTAGTCTCTTCAAGATAATTATGAAATTTAGGGCATTCCTCTATTTCTTGTTTCTGTTATCTCCAATTATTTCCAGTTCTCACTTCCCTGAATTACTCTAGGAATTTGAGCTTTTGTTAATACCTTTATCATATAGATTCGTTGCTTCCAAGTTTTGGTAGTATTTATTTTTTCCGCCCTATTATGAAGATTGATGGTCTGCAGTGAGATACTTTAATTGTCAAATGCCTTTATGCATGTTGATACCCTCATTGACATGTCCTTTTCAATTGGGTGTTACGTATTGTAAATGCAAAAGGAGTCTGATGTTATCATGCAATTCAACTATGTCGTTGGTGTCCTTGAGCAGGAAAAATATCGGATCTGACCGTCAAACAAAGTAAAAGATGCAGGATCAGGAAGGGCATGTGGCTGATGCAGGAAAAGACACATTGACATCTGTTCAAACATCTGAAATTGAAGATTGGACAAAATACAAGGATGATGATATTATGCAACAGCAATCTTCCATCCAGGCTGAACAAGCTGTAAAAACTCAATTTGTTGGTGATAAGGCAAGTGCTATCCTGTTGTCGAAGCATTAACTTATTTCTTTCTTATTATTTACCTTGTTTATATTCAAGGTACTAATTGGATTCGAAACCATCTAGCTCTCGGCATCTCAGTTCCCCGGCTCAACATATTAGTGTTCTATAATCAAGTTTGCTTGATTCCTGCAGTTTTTATGTGTTGTATATGGATAGAACTTTCCTGCATAGGACAGTAGGAATGAGTTAGTATTTTTTTGACTGGATGCTAGGTATTCTGTTAACAAGCTTTAAGGAATTTCTTCTTCTTCTGAAGGTGAGTTAATTATGTGTCGGAGGAAAATTCTTTATCAACGAAAATATGCTTTTGACATATTTTTGAGCTGATTCTACCCTACTTGTTTCTTTCAATGTCTCTGAGGAAAATTCTTTATCAATGAAAATATGTTTTTGACATAATATTGAGCTGATTCTGCTCAACTTGTTTCTTTCAAGTGGAATATTGTTTTTCTTGATTCTTTCTGGAAACAAAATAAGTCATGGCTTATCAAGATGGGTACGACATATTCCTGAACGGATACATTCTGCTTGATTTTCTGAAAATTCACCTCGGTATTGCAAATGAGCAACTTATGGATAGTTTGAACAATAATAAAATGTTTTCTCACTAGAATTGAGCTGAATACCATATAAAATAGTCGGGAGCATAGTGCTGCCAGCAAGTGTCTTCATGCAATGTAAACCCTTTAAGCTAATTTCAGGACATTTTTCATCTTTAAATCTTGCTAATGTATCATTGTGCAATTTCTCCTTCCTTTGTTTACCATTTCTTCTGTTTTAAAAGAAGTAACTTGCGTGTATATCTTTTAAAACTTGTTGTGCTTTCTAGAACGCTTGGATTGTTTAAGATCCTTAAAGAAAATGTTCTAAAGAATTAAAAATATACAAATTGTTGATATGTGTCTCTAATTACTTGAATACATTGATTAACTTGAGTATTTTGCGGGGGTGATAACTGCAGGAACCTTTGTCTTCATTAGAAGCTGAATACCATCTGGGAAATTCAATTTTGCTGGAGAAAATAAAGGTTTGAACATTATATCTTTGTCTTTGGGGTGATTGTTCTGTGTTGCTCAGTAGTTGATGTCACTTCTGCAGGTGCTGAGTGAACAATATGCTGCCCTTAGAAGAACACGTGGAGATGGAAATTGCTTTTTCCGCAGTTTCATGTTTGGTTACCTTGTATGCTTAAATTCTTATACTGCATTTTATTTTGTAGAACATATGTGGTCTTCTGCGTGGACTTTGAGTTTTGGCATCTTTAGTTACTAAATGATCATGTATTTCAACTAAAGGAGCACATTCTGGAATCACAAGATCAAAGTGAAGTTCATCGCATTAAAGCTAGTATTGAGGAATGCAAAAAGACACTTCAAAGTTTGGGCTACGCAGAATTCACATTTGAAGACTTTTTTGCGGTATTCTTGTCTTTCTACCTTGATATGTTTAAGTAGTTGTTTTCGCATGTTAGATGCATTTTGCGTAAAACTATCATGTCTTGATGCTTTAAATATAAGATTTTTTCAATCTTCTTTTGTAGTGTATCTGGATATATTTAATCTGTCTAGTTTTTATAAGATGTACGATCAATTGAACACGAAATGGAAACTTGTTGGTCAAAAGAATAGTTCACAGTTCCAGACTTGACATATAGTGTAATATAAAAGCTGCTCTCTATTCTCTAATCAATGAATTTTCAAGAGAAACTGTTAAAGTGTCTATAATAATAATAATAGTCTGAATTAAATCGGCATATCCTTTCTTGTTTACATTCTGGAGGTTGTTCGAATAACCGTATGATCTTATCATCGTGAATTACCAGAAAATGTTACAAAAGCACAAGCTCCTCCTGATTGTGTTTTTGCTCCCAACTGCATTTTCAATAGTGTGCAAAACTTTTCTTTGACAAGTGTGAGATTTGTTGGCATTAACCGATATTAGTTCGCATTTGAGTAGATTAGATTGAACTCCCTGTTTCACTCCATTTCATGAAGAATGAAATTTGATTCTCTTGGATTCGTGAATTTGAACACTATTTCTCTTTCTTTTGGTTCATATCATGTTATTACAGTGCCAATATCTCCTCCTCCATAGTTTTCCTATCTTCATCTTTCTTGAAATGTATTCCTACATCTTTTTATTTAAGACCCTGAACCTTGATCAGTCCATCCCGCAGATACGTATGCCAGGAAACCCTTGCTTGTTGCAGTTCTTCGCATCACAATTTGGTCAAGGGCTTTTAGTTGATCTTCAAACCCATTCCTATCCTGACCTTTCACGCCTTTAATTTATCTTTTCACATGTCTAAATCTTTTTGCTTCAAAATTTATGGCAGTGCCAGTGATTTGAGTGACAATCACTAGCCTGTATTTTCCATAAAGATATATACAATACAGTAAGGGCTCTTGGTTATTATGATAAGTGTTGTCAGAGGCGCGCTTAAGCGAGGTGCAATACATGTTGAGTGTTTCGCCTTGTCATCAAGGCTCTAATGCATACCTTTTCTTGCCAATGAGCGTAATCTTGAAGAGGCGACACTAAACAATTGATATTTCAATTTAGCGTAATTTTTTTTAAATTTCTTTTTTCATATATTTGTTATTCATGCTTATAATTATTAGTCTTGGATTACACATACATACTTTTTCTTCATCTGCGCCTTTCTTCATTGAAGCCCACGCTTTATTTGCGCTTTTCCATTAAAGCCCCAATTGACCTTAGAGCTTTTTGCGCTTTTCGCCTTTGATAATACGGATTATGATAATAGAAGGGATTGTATTCCTAGCCAGTGGTCAGTATCTAATCTTAAAACGAAAACCAGGGAAACTGCATGTCCAGGAGTTGCATGCTCTCTTGACTAGATTACGTGTTTGTTTGCCTAAAGGCATTTGGGGGTAAGTGAATTGAGAGGGGAAGATCTGATATTGATGGTATGTCAGATGAATGTTTTCGTGTTGTTAGAGCTTATATTGTGATCATTACTCATATATGTTGTATTCCATATAGATTGAGTAGTCTTTGGCCCTCCTTCATTCATGCATCACCTACCACATTGGGATCTTGCATTTGTTCATTTTCTTTAGTTTGATTATGAAATTCGTTGCCCTGAGGCTCTGTCGTCTTTTTGGACTTTCATAGTTATTCCTCGAGCAACTCGATAATGTTCTTCAAGGTAGCGAAGATTCCATAAGGTTTGAGTTCTAAAATTCTCTTGACTTAGAATTTCCATTTAGCTGTGCACTATCTTAATGCTTCCACTGGTCAAAATGGAATCGGTACTAAAGGAGCAAAATTGGTTATTCATTGCAGTCATGACGAACTCCTACGCAGAAGTCGTGATCCGTCCATTTCTGACTATGGTGAGGGCCATTGGCAACCTTTTGTGAATGTGAGATAACAAAGTGTTGTGTTCTTCTCTGTGACCTGATGATATGTGCTGTTTAGTTGTGATGTTCTTCAGATTTGTAACATCTGGTGAAATAAGGAAGCGCTCGGAGTTTTTCGAACCATTTATACTAGGACTAACAAATGCCTCAGTGGAGCAGGTTCGTTAGATGAGATTTTCAAACTTGTTCTTGTACCATTGAACGTATGCTTATAACCGTCTACCTTTAACAATATCGTCTACTAAATACACAGACTCTTACGAGCACTGCTGCTTTTAGAATCCAAGTAAGTGTTAACTCGCTTTCTTTTTATTTGAAAATTAAAACACAGTTTTGCAAGTCATCAGTGGAACCCATGGGCGAAGAGAGTGATCATGTGCAGATTATAGCCCTATCAGATGCGTTGGGTGTACCAATCCGTGTCGTATATCTTGATAGAAGCTCATGTGAGAATAACAGCATCAATGTAAATCACCACGACTTTGTTCCTACAAGCGATGACATGGGTAATAATGGTGTTCCCAAGACCACAAATCCATCTATTACCTTGCTCTATCGCCCAGGACATTACGACATTCTCTACCCCAAGTGATGTTCTTCATTTAGTTTGTGAAAACAATCTCAATGAAAACTTGGCTCATTCACTTTGGCATGTATGATCAATGAGAATAGAAACTTGTGTGTTTGTTGATCAGTGCAGAATTGTAGATAAGCGGAGCTTTCTTTATCCATAAATTTGTCTGTGCAAATTTCTTTACATTTATGAAATAACTTTCTCTAGTATCTTGATTATTACAGACAACCAAAAGAAACTGTATACTATAGTGTATTCAAATATTTTTCAAAACATCTGGTCGACGCCCTTAGTTTTCAATTTACTATTGACATTTTTTTGAAAACAAAAAATTGCAATAGTATTTTTATCTTTGATTTCTATATTTTTACATAATGTTTGTCGTAAGTCTTTATCTTTTATAAATATTTGAATACATTTTAATCTCTCAAACAATTAATTTTTTTGGTTTTTTCATCCTTGTATAAGTGTAATTGTGTATATATTGAAATACATAATATTACTTGATATAAGTATGTTTATTTTTATTTGATATCTTAAAAAGTGATGTTTCTGTACTATAACTTTCTCCTGTGTCGCACCCTGCAAAATATTGCTTTTTGGCTTTCAAATAAATGTATAAGGGAGTTTTAACGCCACATACTAATTCAAAAGTGTTAAGCATTGTATTCAAACCTTATTAGAGCTTTTATAGTTCAACTATTTTCATTTACTTCATATAATACTAGATTTTAATGTGCCTTTCTTATATAGTGTTATTAAAATTAGTTCAGTCTCTTTGTTTTATATTTACTAAGTCAAGATCTATTAATGAACCAAATTGGCTGTTGACTGCTTGAGTTGGGAATAGAAAAGAACAAAGAGGTTAATTTGATGTCACTGCCTAATTATGATTTGGAGTCATCATCTAGTAACAAAAAGAATTAATTTGAGTAAGTGTGTTGGTATAAGGCCAAATGGTGAAAAATCTATACGAACAATATAAGTGCCAAAAGTATTAAAGTCTATTTACATTTACCAAATTTACAACTGACCCCATTCCCGGTAAAGAGCTTTTGCAAATAAGAAATCATCAAATAAGATAATAATCTCTGTGGCAAGCTTTGGATATCCGTAAGAAAATTTATTCATGAATACTGCAAATAAAGTAGAATAATATATTGTATATGGTCAAAATCACGTGTCCCGGATTTTGTAGGCTCGAGGAGTCACATCGAGAACAAGTTCAAGATGGACCGCGTGAATTCCGGAACAGATTTGTACTAGGCGGTTAGACAGCTGTATAATAATATTCCTTACTACATTAGAATTGTACCTTATTTAGGATTCCCCTACTATATAAAATGGACTCCAATCATTTGTAACGATCATCAATCATTGGAAAAGAATATACACTCTCACTTTCTTGCTCATTACTCATTAGAATTGTCTCTTAACTTTATTGTTCTTACTTTACTATTCTTATCGACCGTCAAGACTTGCTCGTGCACTAGTTTGATTCAACTTATTTCTTTAATTCATACGTTTGATTTCTTGATTATCAGTTGGTATTGGACTAAATCACGTATCTTTAAGACCACAAAACAAGTTTAATTGTTACTTAGATTTTAGGGTAAACAGTTTGGCGCCCACCGTGGGGCTAAAGATAATAGCGATTATTTCAGTACTGATTCTGATAACACACGTTATTTTCACACTTGATCTTGTCAAGAATTTTTGTTCTCATGTTAAAACATGCCAAACTCACAAAACGCACCCATATACGGCAATGATGGTCTTGGATTTCATGGAAAAAACAACAATGTAGTTGCTTCGGGAGTCGGTGTGCCACCAATTAACCCTGGGGAAGTGCCAATAGTAGAACCAGTCGATGTTAGTTCACACGTCGCTTTGAATGCGGATTTAGGCGCAGACCCCGGAGGACGTGTACGCAGGGAAGTCCGACTCGGTGGCCAAGGAACACAGGGTATAGGAGATGGGGGAGTTAGCCTCCAAGTAATATTCGAGATGCTACAAGCTCATCAGGTTGCTATCGCTCAGCTTCAAAGTCAGCATAAAACTCCAAGTGTGGTCGAACCAAAAATTACTCGCCGAACTGAGCCGGTGCTAGAAAGATCGAACGGTAATGGCTTGGGGACTGATCCCACGATTATGAGGATGCTCGAGGAACTCACCAAAAGAATCGAGTCGGGGGAGAAAAATTGAGGATAATGACAAAAAAATGGAGACGTATAACTCCCGTGTTGATCAAATACCGGGGGCACCCCCGGTCTTAAAAGGTTTGGATGCCAAAAAGTTCGTACAAAAGCCATTCCCTCCGAGTGCGGCTCCGAAGCCCATTCCCAAGAAGTTTCGTATGCCAGATATACCTAAGTACAACGGGACGAACGATCCCAATGAACACATCACCTCGTACACATACGGGATTAAAGGAAATGACTTAAATGATGACGAGATCGAGTTGGTTCTGTTGAAAAAATTTGGGGAGACTTTGTCAAAAGGAGCAATGATTTGGTATCACAACTTGCCACCGAATTCTATCGATTCGTTTCCTATGTTAGCAGACGCCTTTGTGAAGGCACACGCCGGGGCTATAAAGGTTGCAACAAGGAAATCAGATGTTTTTAAGATAAGATAGAGGGGCGATGAAATGCTATGAGAGTTCATATCCCGATTTCAAATGGAGCGAATGGAATTACCACCGGTTTCAGATGATTGGGCCGTGCAAGCTTTTACACAGGGGTTAAACGAGCGGAGTTCGATCGCGCCACGACAATTGAAGCAAAATCTGATTGAGTACCCAGCTGTAACTTGGGCAAATGTACATAATCATTATCAATCAAAGATCAGGGTCGAAGATGGCCAGCTAGAAGCCCCTTCGGGTTCAGTTCATCCAAACAGATTGGCAGTTAAATCCCCGAGGGATACCGACAGGGAACCGAGGTCGAACAGAGAATGGTATCAGCCATATGTCGCGGATCGAAGAAACAATGGTTCAGGGCGCGATCCTCCTCGGAATGATTGAAGAAATGATCGAGGGCAGAATTCTCGGGGACTTATGAGTAATAATGGTTTTGATAAACATACAGATCCCGCAGAAGCACCTTGATTATCGGAATATAATTTCAGCGTCGATGCATTGGGGATCGTATCGGCTATCGGAAGGATCAAAGAAACCAGGTGGCCCAGACCTATACAAACTGATCCTTCTCAAAGGAATCCAAACTTGATGTGTAATCATGGCACGCATGGCCATAGGGCCGAAGACTGCAGACAACTGAGGGAGGAGGTAGCTCGATTGTTCAACGAGGGTCATCTTTGAGAGTTTCTTAGTGATCGAGCTAAGAATCACTTCAGAGAAAGAGACGCCAACAGAAATAATAAGCAGGAAGAGCCTCAGCATGTAATTCATATGATCGTTGGCGGGGTCGATGTTCCACAAGGGCTATATTCAAATGTACCAAGGTGTCGATTACCAGAGAAAAACGGACTCGGGGTTATGTGCCCGAGGGCGTCCTATCATTCAATGACGAGGAAGCGGAAGGCATTTCTCAGCCGCACAATGACGCCCTAGTAATTTGTATTTTGTTAAATAAAATTCAAGTTAAACATGTTCTAGTGGATCCAAGTAGCTCAGCAAACATAATCAGATCAAGAGTCGTAGAGCAGCTCGACCCACAGGACCAAATTGTACCTGTATCTCGAGTCCTAAACAGCTTCAACATGGCAAGTGAAACAACGAAGGGGGAAATAATTCTACCAGTGAACGTGGCCGGGACCATCCAAGATACAAAATTCCATGTCATTGAAGGCGACATAAGATATAATGCACTGCTCAGGAGGCCACGGATCCACAACATGAGGCCACTACCGTCGACCCTTCATCAGATGATGGAATTCCCAATAGTGGATGGTGTGAAAATAGTTTACGGGGAACAACACGCTGCAAAGGAAATGTTTGCAGTTGATGAGGTGAATCCGATACCAGCGCCTTCGACCTCAGGAAAATCGAGCACCAAAGATAAGCAGACGGCCAAATAGCAATCACCGTCACCAGCTTCGACTGAACCGGAGAAACAGGTAATCGAAGAAGAAGAAGAGGATTTCTTTACTCCTCGAACTTTCATTTTTCCCGAATAATCGGATGCAACCAAGTCAACGCTCGAAGAGCTGGAACAGGTCATACTGATCGAGTATATGCCCGAGCGAAAGGTATACCTAGGAACGGGGTTAACCCCCGAACTCAGGAAAAAACTCATTCAATTTCTTATCGATAACATGGATTGTTTTGCTTGGTCCCATTTAGACATGACAGGGATCCCACTGGAAATAACAACACACCGGCTGAGCTCGACCCCAGGTTCAAACCAGTAATGCAAAAAAGGAGGCCCCAGTCCGAGGTGAAGCATGCATTCATAAAGGATGAGGTAACTAAACTTCTTAAAATAGGGTCCATTCAGGAGGTAAAATACCCCGAATGGTTAGCCAAAGTAGTTGTAGTCCCTAAAAAAGGGAACAAACTTAGAATGTGCGTAGATTATGAGGATTTAAACAAGGCATGCCTAAAAGACTCCTTTCCACCGCCTAACATCGATCTCATGATCGATGCCACGGCTGGCCACGAGATCCTTACCTTTCTCGATGCCTACTCCGGGTACAATCAAATTCAGATAAACCCGGAGGACCAGGAGAAGACCTCGTTTATCACTAAGTTTGGAACATACTCTCACTAAGTTTGGAACATACTCTTACAATGTAATGCCCTTCAGGCTAAAAAACGTGCTACTTACCAATGCCTAGTAAATAAGATGTTCGAAGAACAAATAGGTAAGTCAATGCAAGTTTATATTGATGACATGCTAGTTAAGTCCCTGCGCGTAGAGGACCATTTGATTCATTTGCAGGAGACATTCGAAATCTTGAGAAAGTACAACATGAAGCTTAATCCAGAAAAATGTGCCTTCAGGGTCGGCTCGGGCAAGTTCCTCGGCTTTATGGTATCAAATCGGGGAATCGAAATCAACCCCGACAAGATCAAGGCCATCGAGGACATCACTATCGTGGATAGTTTGAAAGCCGTACAAAGGCTAACAGGACGGATAGCTGCCTTGGGCCAATTCATTTCGAGGTCATCAGATTGAAGCCACAGGTTCTTTTCCTTACTCAAAAAGAAAAATAATTTCGCATGGACCCCGGAATACCAGCAAGC